TTCTATCATCCGAATATCATAATATTTATATATTTTGGATAATAACATGCATTTTTAATTTAATTTGTGAATACTTATTTTTCTGATAATATTTCAATTTACCAAAATCGAATAGTTTTAAATATATTATAGTAATTGAGTTAGGCATCTAGTTAGGTTAGATTAGTTATCATAGTATTTAAAGTTTATAGATGAGCTAAGTATAGGTAATACCCCTGTGCCACTTCTCCCTACTCATCGAAACTTTATACGTACTCTCAAATTACCATCATTCAAGAATATTCGAGTATAGTCAGAGTTTTAGTTCAGCCCCCCCCCCTTCGGCTGGTATAAATAATGAATAAAAAACATATTTTACTGGTTGCTTAAATAAAGTAGGAAGGCAAATTGGATAGCAAGGGCAAAGCAAGAGAAGAGGAAACAATTTGTTTTTTGGATTGTCGGAAATAAAAATGTTTCTAACGAAAATTAATAGGTAACACCGCGTTAACTTTTATTGGTAATAAACTAATAAACTAACAACTAACATAATAACAATATCTGTTTTATACAAAAAACTTCCCAAAAAATTAATCCTGTTAAGATCTGTGAAATTGTTCTGAACACCTGAACACGTCTATGAAAGTTTTAGCATATGCATTATACTTGGTAACTACGAAAGTTGATGTTGTTGTAAAGGTGTCATATTCTCCTCCTTTGGATTATTTTTGTCATATAAAATATTTGATAAAGCAATAGGATTTGAGGATAAATATTATAATTTTACTAGGTGTTTCAAAATAAAAACCTTTTAGATTCTAAACGAAGTGATGAATGTATTGAATTTACAATGCTGTGTGTGTTTTTTTTTGTGTCTGTGTACAACTAGTTGAAATAATGCTTCAATTTCAAACTTTGGAGGTGGTTTCTGATGTAAAAGTGAATATCCTTGGTGCATTATACAGGTCAAAAGTAAACATTTCCCAGCAGTTTTCAAAAAAATCGAGAAAAACAAAAAAAAAGTGACAGAAAAACGGGATTTTTTACTCAAAACGACCAAATCGATTTTTTTATATGGTTGTAATTCAAAAACTAATCACTGTAAATACTTGAAATTTTCACCAAATGTTTATGTTAGTTTTATCTATATACAGTTTAGTTTTGACTTTTTTTGAGATATTTATAGACCACTGAAATTTTCGACTTTTATGAGAATTTTTTTTTGAAGTACCGGTAAAAAAATTTTGGATGACTAAAAAAACTTGAAAATTTAATACAAAGTTCCTTATGAGTTGTTC